TGGCACCCCCCCCCCCCCCCAGCCCGTACACAGTAGGCAAGCAACAGGCAAGCAACAAATACTGTTGAGCGGCTAAATGAAGAAACGACTAATTCCAACAGTATCCCAAAAGATCGCGTGACTGTTTTTTTTTTTCTTTTTCTAATACAGCAGGAGAGAATATATGTCCCTGGGACTATAAGGAACAGAATCGCCATATGGATCATGAGGGAAGAGTGTCCTGTGACAGAAAGTTCCCTGCAGGAAAGCGACTTTTATGGGTAAATGAACTGTACAGGACATCCTGAAATAAAACATCCCTTTCCTTAGTCACTACTTTTAGAGCACACGATGGAAAGAGAGGGCCATACCCTTATGCCTGCTGTAAGAGGGAATGCCTAGCGTTAAACGTGTAGAGACCTAGACTTAGGCCTTAGACCAAATGCTAAGCTAGTAATGACTGTCAGTGTTCAAGAGCATCTTAAAGCTACAGTTTCCCCTCTGTTAAAGAACACTTGCCTTATGGAGACCTCCCTTCAAGCTGCTGGTCAGGAGTCAAGAAGCTCCCAAAACAATATAAGATATCATCTTTGGTTGTGTTCCAGAACATGAAGGTAAGTAAGACCTTATTGCTGAAGACTCTACACTCTTCAGACATGGGGTTTAGCAGAATCAAGCTAGAAATGAAGACCTGATCATGGGGTGCCTATCTCTAGTTAATGCATCTACAACACAATCTTCCTATCGAAGTCTCAGGAAATATGATGGAAAGGCAGAAAGATGCTAAAGGTGAAAGGACCAGGATGTCTGCTATGATAGAATCCTCTATAGATAGCAGGGATATGCATCTACAAATCTTAATGATATGGTCATCTAAACAAGCCCTGTACAATGACAGCACCAGCCAACATTACAGTGTGGATGGGGGGAATTCTACAAGGCCTCAGCTCCTAGATGAAGAGCTACAGGCAGCTAATAGCTGCTAAGAGGGAGACCATCCATTTTCTCCAGTAATGGGTCCCCTGATAGGGTATCCAGTGTTGTTTAGTTAGATCTTACAACTTAGATGGACTGGGGAGAATGATTAAAATGTATAGATTGCAGCAAACAGGTCCCTGTTAAGAGAGGGCCTGTGTACAGCAAAACCCAAACAGTAACGGGCATGCTACCTACTGTCCAGACCTTGGTTTCTACAAGGACCCATGACTCAGAGAAATGCCTGAACAAATGGCTGGGACAAGAAAAGCACAAGATAAACGTAGAGTATCTATATTTTGCTAAAAAAAAAAATGAAGAAAGGTGGAGATAAGCAGAAGACACAGAAGCTGTGGTGAAGCGTTTTCCACCAGCCAAACATGCAACAATCTGAAGGTTAAAATAAGGATAAAAGTAAGGGGCTATAACTCATTAAAATAGGAAGCCATGAGTTTCTTATTTAAATAATAAATTTGATGAGAAATGTTAGTATTTACATAGATGCAGAGTAACTTGCAAATAAATACTTCTAGTTACAAAGGGGAAAATGCAAAGTCGTAAAAGAATCTACGACTTGATTAAATGGATGGGGTGACCGCCAACAGTGCTCTGGACTTAAACACTGTCACCAGAGGGAGAATGGAGGCCGTGGGACTCAGGAAATCCCCAAAGCTGCCAGATTCACAGACTGCCCCAAGGCTATCAGGGTGGGGACACTGCTGGTGCTCCCTGGGAGCTGTGTAAGAGCTCCTGCTATTCAGCTTTGCTGAGTGTCACTCACACAGGGATGAGCTTCTTGGTGATGCTTAAAACTGGTCTTGCTAGATGCCTTAGCAAGTCTTGGACATTTGGTAATCCTCCTGCCCTGATTTCCCCAAATGCAGAAATTACAGGCATGTGCTACACCACATATAGTTAGATTGAGATGAAAAGCAATGTGTTTTAATTTTTGATTTTTATATTCAGATATAGAGAATATTCTGGTTTTTAGAAAATACTAAGCTATTTGAGGTTTCAGGATGTTGTTTTATAGCTCACTCTCAATTGTGCCACGAAACAAAACAAAATCCGTGTATTGTAACTGTTATGTAAGTCTGATACTGCTTTTTAAAAAATATTATTAAAGTAAATGAGAAAGCTAGGGGCTACTTTACCCGTTTTATTTTGAAAATCCGATTAAATTCATTGCTATAACCATACCGTGCATTTCATTTCATTTCACACTGTTTGGCGCCATCAAGTGTTTAAACGAGTGTAAGCTAACTTTAATTTGAAAATTTACTTATGGTTCTAACATAAGAAACAAAGAATGAAACTAGTAACAGGATAAAGATAAAAACATTCCCAAGCCTTTAGGTGATCCCATCAGTAATAATATCAGCACCACGGCAGGAGGGAGAAACAAGCTGGGCATCACAATGGCACGGGAGCAACCGTGCATAAATGAAGGGGCCTGATATTAAGCTCACAGAATTTAAGAGTGTCTCACAGGGTGAGAGACACTAACTGTTCACTGTGGTAACTGCTATGGCAGAGGTAGGCAATGCCCTTGGGGCAGGAAGCAGCAAACTCCATCACTTCTACTTATTACGCTGTGGTGGAGGCAGCGTTTGCCTACAGAACAGGCCTGTCCACACATGATGCCTTCTCGCCCAGGAAGCTCAGGAGACTTGACAGACCTATAGTAACTAATTCAAAGGAAGAGAAGGACCACTTGGCTGCTAGGCTTAGGTCCTGGGCTTCAGTGTATAGCATCTGAAAGCCCTTGTATTTCAGTCTTGGATACTGGGCAGCAATAAAGAAGCTAATACTCAGCTTCTCGTTCGATTTGTCCTAATTTGCTTCTTAATCGCTGTGATATGTACGTGATCAAAAAGAAACTTGGGGAGGGGTTTAATTCACCTCACAACTCTCAGTCACAGCCCCTCCCTGAGGACAGTCAGGACAGGAACTCAAGGTAAGAACTGAAACACAGAATTGGGTGGTGGTGGCCCATATCTTTAATGCTAGCACTTGGGAGGGAGAGGCAGGCAGATCACTGAATTAGAAGCTAGCCTGGTCTACAGAGCAAGTTCCAGCCAGGGTTAGGCAAAGAAACCCTGTCTTAAAAAACCAAACCAAACCAACCAACCAACCAAACAAACAAAAAACCCCAAACCAAAACTAAAACCAAAACCAAAAAGGACTGAAGCCAAAACCATGAAGAAATGCTACTTACTGACTTGCTTAGCTCTAACTCTTATACAACCCAGAGTTATTTGCGCAGGTGCGGCACTGCCCTCAGAGGGCTGGACCCTCCCACGTTGATCATTAGTGAAGAAAATGCCCGATAGACTCTCCTACAGACCAGTCTTTGGCCAAGGAACTCCAGAAATTAAAGGGCAAGTAGAGGAATTAGGGAACCAAATCCCCGCAGTCAAACACTGTTTTCACGGGACCTCTGGTTTCATGTAATTGCCACAGCTGGACGTTTATGCCCATCAAAATGGTTTGTGTATCACTACGGCCAGAAGCCAGAAAGCTAGAACAACATAGGAAAGGCTGAGAATTCAGCTGGTCTTTGTAGAGCACTTGTTAAACATTTTGCCAAACACACTCACACACTCATATTTAGTGCCAAATGTCTGACCAAAAAAAAAAAATCCCTATTTTCATTAAGTCTTTCTAAAGCCACATGGTTTCTCTTCTGTGGCTATATCCTAAGTCATTTCTTAAAGAAAAAAAAAAAGCACCTTTAAAATAAAGCCTATGAGCTATCATAACTGTGGGATGAAGCCAGTGTTAATTCTATCAGGATCTAATGAAACAAAGCAATAAATACATGGCCACTCCCCATTCAAGGAAGGAAAAGTGTGTGTGTGTGTGTGTGTGTGTGTGTGTCTGTGAAGCCCAGGATTGCTTTCTAATTGAGAGCTTTGGCCTTAGTTGGCCAGAGGCTGGGTTTCATACTTGCCATAATAGCCAGTAGAACTTAATGTTTCCTTTTTTGAGATAGGGCCTTGTTGGCCCAGGCTGCCTCTGAACTCACTCTGTAGTGGAATATCACCTTCAACCCTCTGCCCCTTTCTCCCAAGTGCTGGGATTATAGGCACCCACTACCACGCTTGATCTATGTGGCGTTAAAAATCAAAACTCAAGCCTTGTACATGTCAAGCACAAGGGGAAAAAAAAAATGAAGGCTTTACCTTTAAATGAAAAGAAAAAAGGCAGGATGAAGAATGATCAACTTCCAAGACAATTTAACCTGTTTTGCATAAGCCATCTTCATTTCCTCTTACACACTAAACGAGGCGTAATATTCTCATTACTTTAATTTAGAAGTAATTATTTGGTTGTCTCTAACCTGAAGGAACGCCCGAGCTTCTTTATACCTGCACTCGATAAATCTGGAGCGTGGCACTTCTTCTAGAAAGTGTCCTGGGTCTTTTGGAATAAGGACATCTAGCCCATCAATAGTAACCTGCTGCAACTCTGGCCTAAAAACAAAAATTAAGATTTACTATCAAGATTTAATCCAGAACTCATAAGCAACACTGTCAAAACCACTAAAATGTATGTAAAAACTTGTGCTGTAGATTAGAATAAAGTTGTTACTTGGGTTGAAAAAAAAAAGATTTAATCCAGAACACAGGCAGACTTTTAATATAGTGAACATCAGCAAAGGAGCTAACCATCAAATGAATTTCCTTCAATGCTTCAGGTGCCAATCAGCACCTTTATTAGGGCCTTGAAAATCCAATACCCAATAGCAACAAGACCCTATCTCAAAAATAGTTTTAAATATTTTTCACTAATGCAGCTAAATTTGGGGATGAGAGAGGAATGACTCTCTGGATTGAACCTAGGGCCTTTTGCATGCTACCACCGAGCTGTACCCCATTCCTCTTCTTTTTTTTTTTTTTTTTTTGAGACAAAGTCTCCCTAAGTTGCCAAGGATGGCACTGAATTTGTAATCCTCCTGCTTCAATCTTCCATGTAGCTGGATTACAGGCTTGTGCCACCAGTCCTGGCTTAATGCATCTAAAACAGTTTTATAGATACTTTGACATTTTAAGTAGACGTGAAAGTTGAACAACATCATCATTTTCAGTTATCAGTTTAATTTTAGAGAGAAAATAGTTCTTATAGCTAAGAAATACCGAGTAAACTGCAGAAACTTGGGAGCCTCATTGACGGCAAAGATATCTGGAACCCACCTTCTGTGAATATTCCTCGAGAACGTTCTAGTCCTCTCTGTAAAGCTGAAAATGTACAGGAGGCTTTATCTACTAGCACACATGATGCCTACAAGCTACTGGCTGGTTGGTGATTCTGAACTTAATTAACTTATTAACTAAACTTTGATATAAACTTTTAATACCTTAAAGAACTAAATAACTTCCTTAAAAAATCCCTTTGAAACACAAAATTAGAAATAAGTGCATAAACATGAATAATGGCTAAAATTTTTGACAAAAATAGCAGACGCAACACTGACAAGAGACTGTCTCTCAGAGCCCACTAATCATTCCTGGTCACTCCAGCTGTGAACATCCTTCCAGCCGTTTCTCACACGTGTAATACTAAACACTATAAGGAAACAAAAATAAGCATGCCTTACAGGTCTAAAGCATGACAACAAGCAGTATTTCCCTGAAAGTGCTCTCAAAAGGCTTTGACATGAAAACTCTTATAAGCATGATAAACTTTAAGGCAAAGGACTAACATTCAGTCTACATTTACGTCAGGTTCCAGTGTTCCAGACAGATTACAGCATCATCATTAATGACTTCTGAGGAGAGAGAAAAGTACGACTGGGGTCAGAAAGCTGATGTTCACAGTCTTGGGTCACACGCGTCTCCTAAAGTGCCTGTTCTGGCCAGCAGTGTTTATTACTGTGATAGTTGAGGACAGACGTCTACACAGAGTATTAATTTTAGTCCTGCGATTTGTCTTAGCTTTCTGAGGCAGGGTTTCACGATGACAGCCAGGCTGCCCTGCAGCTCATTAGCTAGCTCAGCCTCACCTGCAGCTTGCAGCTCTCCTGCTTCAGCTCCCCGAGTGCTAGGGTTTACATGTCTGAGTCACCACCTCAGGACCCAGGGAAAACACACACACACACACACACACACACACACACACACACACACACACACCCACCCACCCCTAAGACATAAAGGCACAAAGTAATGAGTTACAAGCATCTGTGTTTGCATCTTCATCACAAACACTGCATCTTATCAGCTCCCCTGGAGGTCTCTGTGTACCCCACTCAGTAACTCCTTCTCTACTCTTTAGGGACACATTCTATCTTGTTAGCACCTTTATTCAATTTTAAATATGTCCACGAACACAGCATGACTATATACTATCACTCTTTTCTGCCGTGTTTGAGACACTCAGTATTGCAGGACCTATTCACGCTGTTGCAGACTTGCAGCCGGTTTTCCTGAGGTACAATACTTCACTGTATGAGTATATATGCGTATATTTAAATAGAAACACATGATATTATTCATTCATTATTATTCATTGTTTTAGACTTACCTGTCAAAAGCTCCAGGATAACGACCAAACTGTAACTTTCGAAAAGGAACAAACTTTCTGTCCATGTGTCCTCTGAGTCGTAAGTGACCATGCCAGAGGTAGTTGCCGCTCCGCTCATGAAAGACCACCAAGTGGATGGCGTGAGTGGCCAGCTTACAGACATAGTGTAGGGGGATCTCAGTTCCAGAAAGTGAGTCTATTCCATCTAGTCGAGGATCTTTGCTTTCAATCTTTAGGCACTGAAATCCCATATTCTCAGCTATCCGAAACCAGCCATCCTAGAGTAAGACAAAGATCAAGCCTGAATATTTAAAACCAAACGCTAGTAACAAAACTAAAGCAATTGTTATACCAATAGTTAAGACATATTTTTGTCTTAATTTGCTTTTTTGCCAGAATGTTTTAAAAAATGAGAGTAGCAAACAGAAGGCAGTGCTGAAAGAATGAAGTAGCAAACAAAGGTGTGAGGAATAAGTCTAAGGACTCTGAAGACTAACGCAAACTTCTCCCCTAGGATGAGGAAGCTCACTTAGTGCTCTAGTAGTAGGAACAGAAAAGCAAACTGACAACGTTTATCTCCTGACACTTTCAAAATGCTCTAAGAGAATTCCCACCACAGAGCAAACACCAGGAAACAGACTGCAGCATACTGCACACAATGAACATTTTCAAGATCATTAGGATTTAAATCTCATTTATCAAGATTATCCAATATAGAGAATTTGATGATTAAATATTATTATGAGTATCTGCTGGCCTAATAGATGTGTCCACATTACAACTCAAGCATCTATGCTTCAGGGAACACAGTAGAAGGAGGGCCCAAAAGACAGTAAAAGCCGGCATACCAGGAAACCTGCTGGGAAAGAAATGGCTGATGCAATTTTGTTTTTATTAAAAAAATTAAGAAAAAAAAAAAAAGACTATCTGCTGGATACAGTGGCCTGTGCAGAAAGTCTGTAAATTTGAGGCCAGCCTCAGCTACAGTGAACTTCTGATTCTTTTTTTTTTTCTTTTTTGAACTTCTGATTCTTAAAGGTCTTGTATTTCACAGGAACTTATAATCTCCTAAGAGCTTTTACATTTGCATTTGGATATGATACTCACCCTATAAAAGAAGTAGCATAATTATTATAGATAAGGAAGCATACTTAAAGACAACTTTTGAAACACAGGGAATAATACAGACAGCCACTTAATGTGTACCAAGTGCAAGTACACTGATAGCTCCTTTGCTGCCCACAGAAACTATGGTTTATAAGCACTGTATGCTTTTCCTATAAGGAAATTAAGCATACCAACATGAATGAATGGGCAACACCGACATGTACAAATCTCCCTAGTGGATATTTGCACACTGATCCACCAGCAGTCATCCTATTGTTTTGTTTGTTTGTTTTTGATCTCTTAAAGACAGGGTTTCACTAGGTAGCCCTGGCTGGCCTGAAATTAACTATATAGATTAGGCTGGTCCAGAACTCATAGAGATCTGTCATCTACGTCTCCTGAGTGCAGGGATTAACTAAAGGCATGCACCACCACCTCACAGCTCAGTTTCTTGTTCTTAAACATGAATAAAGATCAGAACATACTGCTGAAAACCTGTATCAGAAAAACACAAAAGCCAAAGAAAATGAATATGTCATTAAAACCTTTAGCAAAACACAAAGTATCAGGGAGTAAACTTTTAAGAAAAAAAAAAAAAAACTTAATGACCTTTAGAGACAAAGGCAAAACCACTGTCATGAACAAAAGAGTGCAAGGACTTTGAGAAAACACACAAAACAACCAGACAAAACTACTAAATCAATAGCATCGTTAAAGCTTTTGGTTTTTATTTTTTTAAATAGAATGGTTGAAAAAAATCACAGAACAAAAATAAAAAATAAAATGATCTCTTTATATGAGGACAGAGGACCAGGAAAAAGACAAAATCAAAGACCCACAAATCCAACAAAGGAACAAAGAGCAGGAAAACTGTGCGTATTAAGTAGATCCTCCTTGAAAACATGGATGTCCCATTCCGTCCTCCCATTCTCCCACCCTGAGCACGGCTGTGACGGTCCTGGGGCACTAGGAGAGCGAGGACGCTGGAATGAGGACGGAAATGGACCAAGAACTCCAGCCCTGGTGTAAGTGGGAAGGCAAGCAAACACCAATGGCCACCATTATTTCAGCTTCTTACTAGAAAAGATAAAGTGCCTTATTTGCTCTAGGCTTTGTATCCAGTTATTTGTAGCTAAAAATATTCCCGATACAACTTGCACGAAGAACTTTAGTGTTCTGCATTTTAAGTGGTGTAATTGTCTCCATTAGCTGCAGCAGCTGACTCACCTCGTTCTTCCACAGGTGATACTGCAGAGCAAACGCAGTGAAGTCTCGCGGAACACAGAAGAACCTGCAGTCTGAAGCGGGGCCCTGAGAAGTATTTTTCACTTGTTCAAAGTTTTTATTAATCAATTCCAGAATCCAAGGGTCGATAAGGAACACTGGCACATTTTGGCTGGATGTCAGCATAACAAAGTTCTTAACTGCACGCTGTTGAGAGGAAAAGAATCTCTTTAATACCACTAAGTCAACATCATTTCCCCCCAGTACTGGGGAACTGAATCCAGGACCTCACCCATGTTAGGACAGTGCTCTGTCACTGAGCTCTAACCCCAGCCCTCCTGTAGCTTTCATTTTGAGAGAAGATCTCGTTAAATCACCCAGGCTGGCCTTAGACTCACTATGAAACCCAGGCAGGCTTTGACCTTGGATTCCTCCTGCCTAAGATTCCCTATAGGTGTGATTAAAAGGCTTGGGCCACTAGGCCTACCTCATTACAACTTATTTTTGTTAAATTTTTGATCAATTAATTTTCTAAGAATTTACAGAGTGTCTACCCAATAGACACCATGCTCATTACTATACTAGGGATAAGCAAATGAGTAACACACACGGTTCTGTCCTCAAGAGGAGCACAGTCTACTAAGGAATTAGACAAATCGCTAGAGTTCAAGATGAAATATGCGCCACAGAATGCCAACGACCCAGTGCAAAAGCAGGAAGCCAGGAATGGCCAGACATGTGGACGAACGCTTGGGACGTCAGCACTCCAGAGGTAGAGAAGGGAGACGGAGACGACACGAGGTTTGAGGTAATCCAGGGTATGCATAGAAAGTTCCAGGCCAACCAGGGCTACACCAGTGAGATCCTGTTCTCAAAATAACAGCATAAACAAAACAAAACTAAGGAGCAAAAAAATCTAAGCATTCATAAAGACTATCTGCTCATTTTCCACAACACAGGCTCTCATATAACATGGCTGCACCGTTTTTATTAGTAAACCAGCACTATCTTCAAATTTTTAAAACTGCTGTTGACACAGGGTCTCAAGAAAGCAGGCTGGCCTCGAGCAATGTCTGTTTAGCTGAGGATGACCCTGAGCTTCTGGTCCCCCTGACACCTACCATATCCGGTTTACACAGTGCCGGAGATTGAACCCAGGGCAAACACTCTACCAACTGAGCTACATCTCAGCTCTGCCCTCTCAGCTCTGTTTTTATTTTTAGTTAGGTAGAAAAAAAAGAAAATGTATTTTTAAAATATAGAGGTTCTGAAACTTTACAAAACAAAAAATCTAATGAATGTATTATATTATCTGTTCCCCTCATCTTACAAAGGACGCACTGAGATTTTTATTGCTGACTATTGACTTCCCTTTACATTCATAGCTCAATTCTGATTCATATATTCCTGCATTTGGGGAAGCATTACAGTTCAGTACTCAAGAATATTAGAGATGGAAAGCTAAAATCTGGATTCAGATATTTACTAACCAACTACCTTAATCTCCCTGACGAGCTAAACCGAGAACATACATACTGACACTTCTAAGGTTTCCACAAGGACAAAATGAGACGTGCCATGTAAAGCACTGGGCATAAGGTCTACTCATGTCCATGGTCATTACTGTCCTTGCTATCAATCAACAAATACTTAAGGAGTATATCAATGAATGAGCTAAAGATAGCACATTGTAACTGAGATGTAAGTACATACCCACTGTGTGCTATCAAATCCAATTCGGTTTCCCTTGGATTTTGATGAGCCAGTTCCATTCTGGAAGAGAGCAGAAGAATATTTTGGTAAACTCACAGCCCAGCACTCACTATCCATATGCTTATTTCATACTCATAAGCAAAAAAAATCATATATTTTATAATACAATAATCCAAGCTATAAAACATTGACAGAATATAATAAGTTACTGATATTATTCATGGTATTCCCAGCATTTCTATATTATTATTATTATGTACTGCCTGCACAACAGAAGAGGGCACCATATCCCATTACAGATGGTTGTGAGTGCTGGGAATTGAACTCAGGACCTCTGGAAGAGCAATCAGGCTCTTAACTTCTGAGCCATCTCTTCAACACCTGGTTAGCATTTCTGAGCAGATTAATGTCCATCAAGAAACAGCATCTGCACTCACACTCCTATGCCTGTCTGTCAGCCCCCTCCCCCTGCCACTGTGGGACAATGGTCTTGTACTTTGTAAAGATTTATCATTTGTATTGTTTTAATAAAATGCTGATTGGCCATTAGCCAGGCAGGAAGTATAAGCAGGGCAACAAGAAACAAAAAAAACAAAAAAAAAAAAAAAAAAGAAGAAGAAAAGAAAAAAAGTATAATAATGAGCAGATAACAAGTGTCAGGCTCTGCCCCACCCCCCACCCCATACTCTTACAGAACAACACTGTAAAGCAAAGTAATTATTTCCGGTTGAGAGATGGCCCCAACACTCACACTTTTCATAATGTGTACTATTATTTCAAATGTTTTAGATTACTTGTAAGTTAACAGTTCTTTTTAAATGTTCAGGTTTGAAATGTCAGACGGAAGAAAATAATATTGCCATATTGTTCATATGATAAGCCCCCATCGATCGGAAACTAAATAGGAGAAAGAATGCTGGACGGTTTAGAGATAAGAAGAAGCTTTCAAGCTCCAAGAACTCTGACAACTCCATATGCTTCCAATGTTTTCTACCTATGAGATATAAACAACAGAGGATGCTGACGGACAATTAGAATCACCTCATCCTACAAACACAATGAGCTCAACATTCCTACAAAGGAGGCTCGTCCTTTATTAAACTGCACACATGCCAAGGCCAAGCTGCCTTTGTGTTACCATGTCTGGCCTAGTGCTTGGTTAAATAGATGTTAGTAAGAATTTGTTAACTGGAAGAGAACAGAAGGGAGGAAGAGTAATGGAGAGCCAGACTCAGTCTCTCGACAGATCTCTAACTTAGATGATAGCAGTTACTTGAGAGAAACAGGCAACAAAAAATAAAAACAGAGGCAACTTTGTGATCCTCAGTCCTGACAAGTGATGGAAACTAGTCATTTGTTTTTCACTCCAGCCCTATAGTAGGAGAGGAACCTGTATTATTATTATTATTATTATTATTATTATTATTATTATTATTATTATTAGATTTTTCAAGACAGGGTTTCTCTGTAGCTTTGGAGCCTGTCCTGGAACTAGCTCTTGTAGACCAGGCTGGCCTCAAACTCACAGAGATCCGCCTGTCTCTGCCTCCCGAGTGCTGGGATTAAAGGTGTGCGCCACCACCGCCGGGTGGAACCTGTGTTTTAAGCTGCTGAATTGGTTGAGTTTGGAATAAGTAAATTTCTAGTGAGCTAGTAGATTGTTTTTAATCGTAGTTTTATTGGAATTAAGATTATATATTATAAATTCTACCCTTTTCCCAGGTGCCCAGGGCAATGTCCCCAGTTAGTTCCTGGGGCAGCTGAGGACAGAGAACCTGAAATGACCCTATCCTATAGTCATACTGATGAATATCTTGCATATCACCATAGAACCTTCATCTGGAGATGGATGGAGATAGACTGGAGCACCGGATTGAGCTCCCAATGTCCCAAGGAGGAGCAGAAGGAGGGAAAATATGAGCAAAGAAGTCAGGACCACGAGGGGTGCACCCACCCACGGAGACAGTGGGGCTGATCTATTGTGAGCTCACCAAGGCCAGCTGGACTGCGACTGAAAAA